ACTGCTTCATCCATCTGGCTTTTCAAAGGGTTCTTCTGAACGTTTCCACATTCCATTGCAGCAGTTAAAAGCCGATACATTTGTCTACATTCAACTGAAATCACAAATAAATAATAAATCAACGCTCACTTATTACATACTTCACCCTGCATTCAACTGATGTGAAAAAAGCAATGGCACATCTTACTCTTGGGGCATTAACAAAAATGCTCTTTTGATCTTCTGCATTTCCTATCAAATCTAAGCTTCAAGTGTTTCCGAAAACTCCAGGGTCCATGAGCATTTATTCTCATTTATGGTCCGGGTGATTGAATCCTTATTTGGAAGGATAGCAGAATTTGAAGACAGAAGTTGAACTCAATCCTTGGCCACGACAGTCTGACGAAGAGATAATCTTTGCAAATAGTAGCTTCCAGTTTAGCTCCAATGCCTTGAGCTTCACTTCGGAAACATAATACCTAGATATCCTTACATCTGCCTGGCTTTCATGTCAACAAAACTGCATCTTGCACCTAAATCTTGACAATTTCCCCCAAACTCACAATTACAAGTGGTCCTGACATTTTAAATGCTTCGGCATCACATTAACACTCAGAGAATTAGCCACCACCATCTTCTGCGAGGAATCACAAAATTCCCAGGCAGTTTGTGTAAATTTGTTCCTGCCGACAAGCCAAAGAGCAATTTTCATAGTTCCCAAAATTCAAATGAGCAAACACACTATTACAACCAATCTCAAACAACAATGAATGTAATGTTCACCTTGTATGAGAGTTTCTGATCCATTCCATTGTGTCCTCTCATGGTAAAGGAACTGCGAAACAATGTGGACACAAATCAGTACATGTCTCAAGGATTGTTGCACATCAATCTGATGCTTGAAGCTGGGTTGGTGTTCCCCCCTGGTAGATAAGCCAATCCACAAGATGACTGTGTGGTAAGATATCCCGTGGCGCGGATCTAGACAACTAATCAACAAAAAACCGCTCAATAGATACAGAAATTAGAGGTGATATATAGCCTATCCCTCCAGTTGCATCATAAATATCTTTCAAAGCTCCAAAGAACTTCTGAACAGTTCAATGTTTATGCATAATCCCATATTCCCAGAGAGGCTCTCTCAAATTTCTTCCATGGTGTATTTCATTAAAACTTTTGCAACATTCTCAAACACCTCATTATTCGGCTTACCAGACCCGAGAATCATAACTACCACACACCAATCTGCCATAAGATAACTGACTTCTCAAGCCAATATTTTGAAAAATAACTTCTTTAATTATATTCCTACAATCTCAGTTCCTCTCAAAGAAATCAAGTTCCCTTCAATGATTCTCGCCAGTCTAGGGAAATATGAAGTCAAAGAATTGCTTCGTTGATAGTTCACAAAATTTTGTAGTGCCTTAGTATCATAATGCTGGTGATGCAGAATTTGGAATTCAAAGAGATTTTGAAACTTCATAGATGTAAGTAGAATTTCTGACTTTGCAAACACGGATGATGAATTCTCAAATGACTGCTTGCGAATGGCATCTAGATTTTCCAACACCTTCATACCACAAAAAAGTAACTCTGAACTCCATACCTCGAGCAGCAGAGACAAGCTTGCTGACATCAATTGAAACCACCTTCTCGCTCGTTTGAGCACATCTTTTGTCCACCTCATCTACTCACTCTGCATCTGGGTTCAGCAAAAGATACTTGGTACCAAGATTGCTTATTGCTTCCATACACTAAGGTAGTTCAGCAGAAGTCACTAACTTCTGCAGTTGTTAACATCTCGTGTTTGCGATGCTCAATACTCAAGTATCTTCACAATCATATCTTCCAGTAATTCCAAAGTAGACAAGGGTCTCACAGAAACCTGGTTTCTATGAATTGTGTCTTCTGAATATGCTATGAGATCGAAACTAATTCGTCTTCCCAACCATATTCAGAGGTACTTAAATGAAGATGAAATCCAAAATGTTCGACAAGATATATTAACCTCTGATACTCTGATGTCTCTTGAAGCATTTATTGATGACTCAGCATGAATAGGTTGCACTGCTCATTGATAAATGTCAGCTTCATTTCGAACAAATTCAGAAAATTGGTACAGTCATTCTCCGCTAGCATGGTCCTTTTCCCAAAAGCTCTCCTTTTCTCTAACTGCTTCAAAGGCCACCTTTGCTCCCGATGACCATAGAGATTGGAAAACACGTAATGAAGTATAAGTTCAGATGCTTCTTTAAAATTCCACGTTCTGTAGCAAATCAGTGCCGCGGAGAATATCGCCTCTCTCTCTTTTTGCAATTTTGCAGCATCCACGAATTTCCCAACTCATCTTCCACCATAGAAGTTCATCAAAGCAATTCACGACTTCAAAAGTTACGTTTCATCATCCACTGAATGAAAAGCTTTCACAATTTCATCATAGATTTGCTATCTTTAGCTCATGTGATGAACAGCACTCCTCTCCAGAAAGTCTTGTTCAATTTTTATTTTTCACTTCTTTGGACAGTACCACACATCTGTACGGCATGTTGTTTCCAGTAATGGATGTATGCAATCCAACATCAAAAAGCTTTCCTTGGAGCAAACATCTCAAAAGCTCCGTTTCAAATCCAATGAATGAAAAGCTTTCACAAATTTCATCATGGATTTGCTATCTTTGAGCTCATGAGAGATAAAAGCGCACCTCTCTAGAAAGTCTTGTTCAATTCTGTTCATTTCTTCACTTCTTTGGACAACACACATCTACGGACTTTGTTCCAGGATTGGATGTATTGAATCCAACATCAAAAAGCTTTCCTTTGGAGCAACATTCAAAAAGCTCCGTTTCAAATCCAATGAATGAAAAGCTTTCACACAATTCATCATGGATTTGCTATCTTTGAGCTCATGAAGATGAAAAGCGCACCTCTCTAGAAGTCTTGTTCAATTGTCATTTCTTCACTTCTTTGGACAACACCAACATCTGTACTGACATGTTGTTTCCAGGATGGATGTATTGCAACCAACATCAAAAAGCTTTCCTTGGAGCAAACATTCAAAAAGCTCGTTTCAAATCCACTGAATGAAAAGCTTTCACAAATTTCATCATAGATTGCTACTTTAAGCTCACATGATGAAAGCACTCCTCTCCAGAAAGTCTTGTTCAATTTTATTCATTTCTTCTACTTCTTTGGACATACCAACCCTGTACTGGCATGTTGTTTCCAGTAATGGATGTATTCCAATCCACATCAAAAAGCTTTACCTTTGGAGCAAACATTCAAAAGTTACGTTTCAAATCCACTAATGAAAAGCTTTCACAAATTTCATCATGGATTTGCTATCTTTGAGCTCATGATGATGAAAGCGCATCTCTCCGAAAGTCTTGTTCAATTTTGTTCATTTCTTCACTTCTTTGGAAAGTACCAACATCTGTACTGGCATGTTGTTCCAGTAATGGATGTTATGTCAATCCAACATCAAAAAGCTTACTTTGGAGCAAACTTCAAAAAGTTACGTTTCAAATCCGCTGAATGAAAAGCTTTCACAAATTTCATCATGGATTTGCTATCTTTGAGCTTATGATGATGAAAAGCGCATCTCTCCAGAAAGTCTTGTTCAATTTTGTTCTTTCTTTCTTCACCTCTTTGGAAAGTACCAACATCTGTACTGGCATGTTGTTTCCAGTAATGGGGTACTGCAATCCAACATCGAAAAGCTTTCCTTCAAAGCAAACAGTCAAACATCTGAAAAAATTGCCGTGGCATCACCTCTACTGCACGCTCATAGCATCCTGCAGAACGAAACATCCCCCGCCCTTTCCAGCTCTGGTTCCTCCCATTTTTCCAAATAAATCCTACCGCACAACAAGAAATTGAGTCTTAACATCAAATTTAGTAACCTCAAAGTGGAACATATACAATATCTAGCACTTTTCGCCATTGACTACTATACACAAGGGCAACAAGTTCCTGAAAAAAAAAAAAAAATTAGTATGGAAGAATTTATTGCATAGGTCACAACTCTGAAAACTGAAATAGATATCCAGTCACTTTTGGAGCGTTCATCTTGGTGCAGAAATGGACTAGCGACAAAGAAACTTCTAAACTCATTTCATACTAACCTTCTGATAAGACTGCAACAATTTTACATTAGATTGCATCCAAAACTTTCTTATAAAAACAACAACTGCATCTGAGAGTCTACAAGATCTATGTCTATTCTCAACAATAAGTATGCTTAACTATCAATTCCTGAAGTCACAAAATATTCAGCAACAAAATAAGTAGGAGAAACTTCTGAGATGATATCCAAATTTTCACAGTAACGATAATATAAAGAATGAATCCATAACACTGCAGCACATAAAGACAGCAAGTTATATTCATCAAAATAATCAATATCCAATTCATACCTGCTCTTCTCATACCTCCACGCTCATAAAACATTTGGCAGCAGAATTGGCCTTGTGTATGGCTTCAAATTTTATAGCAGCTTGCCTTAGTTTTTATTAGCCTCTTCAGGGTTCAAACTATGCGGATACGGTCAGCATCAGCTTTAAGGGCAGTAGCTTTACACCTTTCTTCCCAGTAAAAATCTTTAGCTCTTTCGAAGCATTTAGTTTGCCATTTCATAGTTACGCTCATGGAAACAGCTGGAAGTAACAATAATTGTCAAAAGAGAAAAAAGAATAGTTTAGTATCACCAAGAAAAGTAAAGTGGCTTCCTAACTTGTACACACTCCTACCACAAACAAAATATGAATGTCAAATGGCTCAAGACTGAGATTTTTCGAAGCAGCGTATATGACGCAGTCTAAATATGAATGTGAAATGGCTCAGCTAGGAAAAGGGTACCAGAATTGGAGACATGAAGATGAAAATAAATACTGTTAGCAGTAGTGCAATAGCAAAACGTATTCCAGAATATGTCAGGTCAAATAAAAAGGTTTCACAATTTAAAGCATGGCACTAACAGTAGACAACAACGATGACAATAACAGCTTGGGAAAAAATAATAAAGACCTTGATGCCCTGCGATTTCCACTCTTCGGGGGTACTCGCAACTTGCATTGCATGTGCAAATGAATCATCCAGCTGTTTGACTTCAACAAGAGACTTCTTCTTCCAATAGTCAAACATAGGTTTGGAGACTTCCTCCCTATCCTCCCAGATCCATAACCTTTGCCTTGTACGAGTGATGGCGACATACAGTTGCTTCAGTTCAGCACACAAGATGTTATGTTTAGCTTCATTGAAGCTCGGGAAGGACCTAGGTGACGTGGAGTCAAGCAAATTTTGTTCCTTCATATATTCATAAATCACTCTCCATTGATTCTTAAGATGTGGTGAACCAAAAAAATTGTATAACAGTACATCCTACGAAAGAAATAATACAAGTCATTAATGAAAAAATTTAGGATTCATAGAAGTTACTGAATAATAGAAGGAGTAAGGACTTGGATAAACGAGGTGAAATCTTTTCAGACCAATCATTTTAGCAGTATTTAGCAATCAAATCCCCCCGTCATAAATTTTGAGGAGGGGATTTGATTCTAGATAGAAGTTCAATCTTATATTTCACTAGGAACAGTTGCCAGGAGTCGAAATCTTACATTATTACCTGCATATGCCTTCTTACATTGTCCACGCTAAAGATGAAATGAAATGACAATTAAGGGAAATAGTCTGAAACTTACAACTTTTAAGTTTTAACTAGATCACAAATGACCCATTCAGTAATAAGATCAAAATAGATTAGAAGAGTACTCAAGGGCATAGCATGAAGAATGGTATACTAAAAGCAAACACTATGTTTAATTCTCCAATAATCGCAAAGACTTTTCAATAAAAAAAAAAATTCACCTGAAATTCGAGGCCTTTACTCTCTACTATGGTCAAAACAAGAGCTTGATTCCCAACATAGTCAGAAATAACCTTCCGAGCACAATCATCTCGTACTAATATCACCTGTTCAGCTCCAAAACCAACTACATTGCCACCAACTTTTCCACTCTTTCCAAAAATTTTTATGATTGCATTTTCATCGTTCCCAGATTCAAGCAAAATCGGAGACTCCCCATATATCATAGTAGTCTCAGGGTTTAAAACATCAACATAGGGACGGAAGAAACGGTAAAGAAGATCAATGATGCTCTGAGCTAACTTCAGTACTCCTGCATGGGTACGGAAGTTCTGGCTCAAGTTAAAAATATTTGAGAGTTGTCCTTTTTGTTCTCTGCCATCATGTTCATTGCTTCTTGATTCCAGTACAAACTTCTTGTAGAACAGATGTCGTATATCTTCAAATTTGAAGTCGATTCCCCTGGCAATTGTTTGTGCTGTATCACCAGAAAAAACAAAACCCTCTTCCACATTTTTGCAGATATATTTGAGCAGAGCAATTTGGCTCATTGTAAGATCCTGCACCTCATCGACATAAACAAAATGAATTTGATCTCCGACGTATTTTCCTTTTTTAAGTCGATGATGAAGATCAATTACTAAATCAGCCAAATCAAAATCACCATTTTTCATCTTCATTCTCTCATAGTTTTGAAATATCTCATATATCATCTCTCTTTGTTGCCTGCTCAAAATGGAAACTCTACCCTCTGATAATTGGACATAAACTTCTCGACTCAGTTTACCGTCACCAAACTCCATGGATCGCAGGCCTCCTTTTATGTGAGATATAATCTCAGTGAAGACCCTCGAAGAATCAAGCTTCTTTGTTAGTTGTTCATTAAAACGTGGCCAGTAAAATGAACTAAACCTGTCATAACTAACTTCCTTTTTCCTCATAATTGTGTATAAGGAATCTGATCTTAAACTCTGAGTTTGGACATTAGAATGTTTCCGAATGTCATGGAATCTCTCAAAATATGAATTGCCCATTGTACCATCCAGCATCATTAAGAACTTATGAAATGTAACAACAAGAGGGTATGACTTAGGCGGAATGTCTACAAAAGAATTTGGGATATCTTTGAATTGCGCTACATCATCAATATCATCCATGTCAAGTAAACTGCCTTCTGCTAGAAACTTCTCACCCAGGGCGGAGCTGCACGCATTACAAGTACTATCATTAGCCACAAACCTTAAATGAAATAAGAAAAGCAGACTGCAAGAGTTATTCTTATGGAAAACTCACAAACCTTTTCAAGTGAGAAATGTGTTGCTTTACAGCAAAACACAGTTTAGGACTGACTGTCACAAAAAGTTGGCGCAAGATATCCGGTTTCTCCTCTCCAAGGCCCTTCTCAAGCTCATTTGTCTGGGTAGTATGCAGATGCTCATGATTATCAACTCCATAGAATCCTTTAGTTGCCATGTGATGTAGTTTTGCTTTCTGAAATAATTTCATGGTCAACACAGTAGTTTTCCCTGTACCTGACCGACCAAGTATGAAGGTGCTTCTAGGAAAAAGAATCATCTCCAACTGTTCATCTGTTACTTCAAATGGAAGATCCAATGCTCTACCATCACAGTCGGAAAGTAGGTGGTTCACTACACCTGATGATAAAGAGTAGAATTTCATCAACAACAAGCTATCAATCACCTTAGAATTCTCAACATAACTCATACTATCTGAAGCAGCTCCACTTAAGTCACTTCCACTCTTACTATTAGCAAGATTCTTGAAACGAACAACTTCTGAAGAGGCTGCCCAAGTCTTGGGAACTTCCAAATTCCTAGTCCAAATAAAATGTTTGCTAGTCAGTATAAGAGGAAAAAATTATATTTCTTCAACAGAACTGAAAAGAGTAGACATACCCTTCAATATTTTTCTCTTTGCAACGATTGATGTAATCATCAGTGTACCTAACAAATATACCATCCAAACGTTTTACCAATTTTGGAACATTCTCCAAAGGCAATATATCCCAGACTTTTAAAACTTGCTTGTAATTTGATTCCTTTACTATGTCAATTGTGCAAATTGTATAGAGACCTTCAACTTTGAATATCTTAATAATGCGCGAAGAGCTTTCACAAATAGAATCTATGTTCCTCCTCTTAGGTCGCCAGCCACTTGAAAGTTTCAGTAGAAGGTTAATAACTGATTTCTTTTTGCGGTCTGATGTCATTTTTTTAAAGGATTTCAAGAAGTTGTCACTAAAAATAACCTGGGAAATAAGTTAGAAATTGATCACTCACAAATATTGCACTAACCATGGTAGGAAAAGTTGATTGGCAAAGCAAGTAAAGCTATGGAAAATATATACCTTCCACTTTTGGTTTCTGAAAAGTATACTACCAGCATCCAACAATTCATCCAACTCACCAAGCTCTTTTTTGGCCTCTAATATAGCTTTGGCCATATCCTTATCTTCATCAGCATTAAAGAAGCAACGCCGGTCCTTAGCATCACGGATTAAGGTTTGCCAAACAGATTCACCATGAGTTAAGGTTCTTTCATTCCCCAAAATCCATAAACAATGCCTAGAGCAGGGGACAGAAGTTATTCACCATAGTTAGTAAAATGAACCAAACACAATGAACAACATTTACATATTTACCTAGCCCTCGTAAGTGCGACATTGATTCTCTGTGGCTTGGACAAGAATCCAATGGATCCATTCCTGTTACTTCTCACAGTGGAAATTATAATAACGTCCTCCTCTCCTCCTTGAAACCCATCAATTGACTTCACTTTTACAGTAAAGCCGTCACTGTTCTCATACTTGCCTCCAAGTTTTTTTTGAATTGCTCCCACTTGAGCACTGTAAGGTGAGACTATGCCAATGCTCAGCTTCTGTTTTGAGCCCTTCCAATCTGCATATTATGAATTACCATGGATATAAATAGTTTTGGCATTTGATCAATTTGAAACACTTCATTTCATTTATATATGATTCATTATTTAAGTTTGTAAAACTCTTTTTCTTCAATCATATTTTTACAAGCAATACATAATACAAATTAGTACATGCATGAGAAATTAGGTAATCAGTTGAAAAGCATAGGACAGTATTTACCACATTAGCCATTGACAGGAAATCAGCACTTTTTGATTTCTATATAAACATTAGTCACAAAATGATAGTTCCCAAGTGGGGAACAATATTTATAAATTAGATGGTTCTACCCTTTATCAACAAATTTCATTATTATAAGTTATATAAGATGCTTCCCATCATGAATAAAATTAGGCTAATTAATTAATTACGTTCATAAAATGTAGACAATATGAAACCAGTATTGTGTTTCTCAAAAGGAAATATTGGAAATTAAATGAATCACATGCTATTGAATAAGCTGTGAGATGACAAAATGAAAATCAATTTAGTTTAGATGGTAATATAAATGTGAGAACGCATACCTTTGTACAGGTTCTGCAATATTTTCATCACAACTGCTACCTCAACCATATTTCTCCAGCCAGAGCTGATGAACTCGTCTCTCCCATCAAATATGTTGATGAAAGAATATGGACCAAACATTGGTGATCCTGGCAAAAAGACTTTTTCGTAGCTTTTTCTTTTAACATCCGCGGAATCTAAAATCTGGTTGTTATAGAAATATGAATTTGGGAAGTAGCTGATAGAGGGGTGCATTCGATATTGCATATTGAGCAGGTGTCTAGAGTGACCCAAGGAGCTCAACCTCTCGAATAAGCTTCTCCCGAAACCAGCTTCATCAGAAACCTGAAAACAAAGACGAACAAATTAAGGAAAACTAAAAAGAGAAGCAAATGCCAAATACATAGAAATCGGTAGAATTACATCAACACACATTGCTTGCAACCATTGCTGGCAATTGGCACTCATCCCCAATGAGAATAGTATGCTTTAAGCCCAGGAGTTGCAGCGGTATTGTCGACTCACTTTCTTTTAGTTGTGCCGCTTCATCAATGACCAGAATGTTCAGTGGTTCCATGGCCACTGAATGCAGCTTAAATGAACTAGAAGCAGTGCAGAATATTACTGAAGCTGTTTTAAAACAGAAATCTTTTAATGAGTCTATGTTCATATAACTTGGGAGCTCAAGTTCGCTTAAGGAATCCTGAAGAATTCTTAAAACAGTGTGACATTCACCCCTCCTCTTGTGCAACAAGTAGTTTTTATGCCCAGATGACGAAGAAAAATCTTCAGCTACTGAATGTGAAAAGAGCTCTTCTAGTTCCTCAGAAGCTACACTGTCTTGAAACAATAAAGTTCCAAAAGAATCAAGTAAAGTGATCAGAGCTACCATGTTTTGAAAATTATTTTCCAAAATGAAACTTTTGGATATATGAGTACAGAGGATATATATACAATTCCTAAGAGAAGTGGCAGTATAGTTAAATCTTTCTCTCATATATTCAAGAAATGACTTGAACTCCTCTTTAGACTCCTCTTTGATTTCATCTTCATTACTGTTTTCTCTTTTCTTTATCAATTCATTTTCCAAGAAAATGTGATACTGAGAAACACAATCTTCAAGTAAATCAATCATGGAAGCAAAGTAATACCTCCAGCCAGTTTGCACCCCAAAACACTTTGAAAGCCTTTTAGCACGATAATCCAAATATATTTCTTGCATTTCTTCACCAACTTTGAGTCTCTCCTTACTCCCAAACAAGAGAATATCTCCAACAGGAAAAAACAGAGTGCCTGTCCCATGGTTGTCTGTTTTAACAGTTTCTTTCAGCAGCTTTAGAACACGGGAGGCCACTTCTTTAATTGCAACATTTGTTGGGGCACAAGTAAGGATTCTGCATTTCATTCTTAACAGTGTAAAGAGAAGCATAGTAACAGCTTTAGTTTTGCCTGTCCCGGGGGGACCCCATATCAGTTGCACAGACGATCTGTGATCACAATGCACGCTATCAAGACAGGCAAGAACCGCCTTCAGTTGAGAATCATTCATTATCGATCTGAGACCAAATTTCTCATTCCAGATGCCCCCATTCTGCTCAGAACAGACTTGGCAAGTTTCCTCCTGTCATTCAACATGCAGGTTTCAATAAAAAACACCACAATTTATGTCAGCAAGAAAAGAAGTAAATCATCTTCAGGAAACTTACCACAGAATTAGTGCATAGAATTTCATTGATAATCTTCAAATTTCGAGGCATATGCAATGATTTCCATATTCTTATGTTAGGAGTTATATTTACCAAGAAAATTACAAATAATGATTTCTCCCCATCATCGACTTGGATGCTTCTTGAGGCCTTGACTTTAAAATAGGTAGAAATGCTATCAGTCTCATTCTCATTCTCATTTACATCCACTAGGTCTACGGTTTTCATGACTGATAGAAAAGACCACGTTCTACCCACCCTTTCCAAGTCGGAAATAGTTTCAGGTTTCGCGTTAGCCAAAATCAAAATATCCCACGTCAAAGTTTTATAAGGCTCTTTACCAATGTTACTGAATCTGTTCCTCCAGTAATCAACCTTAACGTCATATATCTCTGCTCCATGTGGCTTGGACTCAGCAAAACTGACCACTTCAGCATAAGGTGCTCTTGAAATAGTCTCCATCCCTGAAAACAGTTGGGCTCGTGTTTCTTCCAACAAAGGATAAACAAATGACCCAAAATACTGTTTGACTGACTCAAATGATTCAGGAATTTTTTTCACCTGAAAGAAATAAAACAATTACTCAATTTAGTGATAAAATATCAAATAAACTATTTCAGTCAGCATGGACTTGATTATAAAATGAAAGCACTTGAAGGTAAAGAGAAGCTTCATCTGAAATTTGATAGCATGTTCAGATGTCTCTTAACACAAAAATCTAGGCAAACAGGCAAGGGATTTTAACCAATGCTAGTAACTACTAACTATATATATATATATATATACACACACTCATTAATTACAAGTGTCACAGACACTACTCCATTTTCATAGACAACCGACCATTACAGATAATTAGGAGGGAAACCCTGAAGTTGAACATAACAATTACAAGTGTCACAAACATAAACATTAAACAATAGCTAGATACTAGGGGTATTCGGTTCCAAGTACCTTGCATATTTTTAAGGAACCGAAACCGAAAATAACGGTTCCTTGAAATTTGGAACATGAATTGGAACCGACGGTTCCAAATCCTAGGTACCGAGAACCGAAACCTATAACAACGGTTCCAGTTCCGGTTCTAGGTACCCTATAAAATTATAATTACCCTTCAAAGATTTTAAAAGGCAAAAAAACCCTTAAAAATTTACAAATAACCCTCCACTTGGAATTTGTTAACAAAAATAAAATTACAAATGATAAATTCAAAATTACAAACTCTATTACTTTGTAAAGGTAGATTTGCAAAAGTCAAACCAACTTACTTTAAATATTATGAAATATAAATATAAATGTATTCACGTTACTTTTTCTACAAAAGTTTTTATTAACCCCCAAATCTTTAATTTTATTTTATATTAGTCTCAGGTCCCAATTCCAGTTCCAAAAATTTTGGAACTGAAACCTACCCGTTGATGGCCGGTTCTAGATAGGAACCGGAACTAAACCCGGGGTATCCGTCGGTTCCCCGTTCCAATCGGTTCTGTAACTACTAACTTCACTAACAATATATATATACACACTCATTACTTACAAGTGTCACAAACACTACTCCATTTTCATAGACAACCGACCATTACAGATAATTAGAAGGGAAACCCTGAAGCTGAACATAACAATTAAAATACCAAACAAACATAAACATTAAACAATAGCTAGATACTAGGGGTATTCAGTTCCAAGTACCCTGCATTTTTTGAAAGAATCGGAACCGAAACCGGAACTGACGATTCTTTGAAATTTGGAACCGGAACTGAAACCGATGGTTCTGGTTCCTAGGTACCCACAACTGAAACTTGTAATAACGATTCCGGTTCTAGGTACCCTATAAAATTACAATTACCCCCCAAAATTTTTAAAAGGCAAAAAAACCCTTAAAAACTTATAAATACCTTACC